TGTGGGTCTGTGCACTTACGTGTGTATCTATGCGTACACATGCACCTTTGTGTACACGTGCGTGCACATGTCTGCACGTATGAGGGTGTGCATGTGTGCCCGTGGTCATGGGAGTGACCTGTGCCTGGGTGTGTACACATGTGTGCACGTGTACACACGTGTGTACCCATGGGGCGTGCATATACATCTGTGTACTCATATGCACATGTGAGTGTATACACGTGTTTGCATGCCTGTGTTCTGGGGGTGTGTGCACTTGTGTGTGCATGTACGTGTGTATCTGTTTGCATGTGCACGTTTGTGTACACGTGTGTGCACATGTCTGCATGTCTGAGGATGTGTGTGTGCCCGTGGTCATCAGAGTGACTTGTGCACAGGTGTGTGCACGTGTGTGCTTGTGTACACACGTGTGTACTCATGGGGCGTGCATATACATATGTGTACTCATATGCACGTGTGAGTGTATACATGTGTTTGCGTGCCTGTGTGCACTTGTGTGTGCATGTACGTGTGTACCTATGCGTACACATGCACGGAGCCCCCCCAAGACCCGCCCTCGAACCCGCGCACCCCCGACCCCGGGTCCAGCTCACATGGGCTCCCCGCTGTTGATGTAATCCCAAAGCAGGTCCTCCGAGAGCTGAGAGAACTTCACCCGCGTCTCCTCGAAGAACTCAGTCACCTCCGTGTCCAGCCGGCCATCTGCGGGGGCAGGGGTGGGAGCCACGGGGCGGCTCAGGGTCCCCGATACAGCACGGGTGCCCTGGGGGGACCCGCGGGACCCTTCTTTTTGCCTGCCACTAAGGACGGGGAGGGTCCAGCTGGAAGGGGAGGCCTGGAGCCCCCCACCCCGGGGTGCTGGGAGAGGCAGGAAGGACCCTCCACCCGGAGCCCTCAGATAGAGGTTGGTCCAGTGAAGCTGAGCCCTGGTGGTCCCCAGCGTGCTGAGTTCCTCAATGAGGGGGTCACTCGCTGCTTCGGGGACCGCAGACACCCACGGTACTGGGCCGAGAGAGGTGAAGGGTTGGCCAGGAGCAGTGCATGCTGGGAGAATCTGCCTAGCTTGGCCAGGGTGGGGCATGATAGGTGATGTTGGCTACCTTGGCTGGAGCAGTGCATGCTGGGAGGATCTCTCTAGCTTGGCTGGAGCAGTGCATGCTGGGAGAGATGGGCCCTTGGGATGGAGCAGTGCATGCTGGGAGAATCTGTCTAGCTTGCTGGAGCAGTGCATGCTGGGAGAGTCTGCCTACCTTGGCTAGAGTGGTGCATGATGGGAGATGTTAGCTAGCTTGGCTGGAGCAGTGCATGCTGGGAGAATCTGTCTAGCTTGGCTGGAGCAGTGCATGCTGGGAGAATCTCTCTAGCTTGGCTGGAGCAGTGCATGCTGGGAGAGATGGGCCCTTGGGATGGAGCAGTGCATGCTGGGAGAATCTGCCTAGCTTGGCCAGGGTGGGGCATGATAGGTGATGTTAGCTACCTTGGCTGGAGCAGTGCATGCTGGGAGGATCTCTCTAGTTCGGCTGGAGCAGTGCATGCTGGGAGAGATGGGCCCTTGGGATGGCGCAGTGCATGCTGGGAGAATCTGTCTAGCTGGGCTGGAGCACTGCATGCTGGGAGAGTCTGCCTACCTTGGCCAGGGTGGGGCATGATGGGAGATGTTAGCTAGCTTGGCTGGAGCAGTGCATGCTGGGAGAAGTGCATGATGGGAGAAATGGGCCTTTGGGATGAGGCAATGCATGCCGGGAGAGTCTGTCTAGCTTGGCTACAGTGGTGCCTGATGTTAGCTAGGTTGGCTGAAGCAATGCATTATGGGAGAGATGGGTTCTTGGGCGGGAGCAGTGCATGATGGGAGAATCAGTCTAGCCCGGCTGGAGCAGTGCATGCTGGGTGAGATGGGCCCTTGGGATGGAGCAATGCATGCTGGGAGAATCTGTCTAGCTTGGCTGGCGCAATGCATGCTGGGAGAAATGGGCCCTTGGGATGGAGCAATGCATGCTGGGAGAATCTGTCTCGCTTGGCTGGCGCAATGCATGCTGGGAGAAATGGGCCCTTGGGATAAAGCAATGCATGCTGGGAGAATCTGTCTAGCTTGTTTGGAGCAATGAGTGATGGGAGAGATGAATGTTTGTCCTGGAGCAGTGCATGCTGGGAGATACGTTTCTTGGACTGGAGCACTGCATGCTGGGAGAATCTCTCTAGCCTGGCTCGAGCAGTGCATGCTGGGAGAGACGGGAGCTTGGGCTGGAGCAGTGCATGCTGGGAGAATCTGTCTAGCTTGGCTACAGTAGTGCATGCTGGGAGATGTTCGCTAGGTTGGCTGAAGCAATGCACTATGGGAGAGATGGGTTCTTGGGCTGGAGCAGTGCATGATGGGAGAGATGGGCCCTTGGGATGAAGCAGTGCATGCCGGGAGAATCTAACTTGGCTGGGGCAGTGCATGCTGGGAGAATCTGTCTATGTTGGCTGGAGCAGTGCATGCTGGGGGAGATGGGCCCTTGGGATGAAGCACTGCATGCTGGGAGAATCTGCCTAGCTTGGCTGCATCAGTGCATGATGGAAAAAATGGGCCCTTGGGCGGGAGCAGTGCATGCTGGGAGAAGTTAGCTAGCTTGGCTGGAGCAATGCATGCTGGGAGAATCTGTCTAGCTTGGCTGGCGCAGTGCATGCTGGGAGAAATGGGCCCTTGGGATGAAGCAATGCATGCTGGGAGAATCTGTCTAGCTTGTTTGGAGCAATGAGTGATGGGAGAGATGAATGTTTGGCCTGGAGCAGTGCATGCTGGGAGATACGGTTCTTGGACTGGAGCACTGCATGCTGGGAGAATCTGGCTAGCTTGGCTGCAGCAGTGCATGATGGAAAAAATGGGCCCTTGGGCGGGAGCAGTGCATGCTGGGAGAAGTTAGCTAGCTTGGCTGGAGCAATGCATTATTGGAGAGATGGGCCCTTGGGATGGAGCAATGCATGCTGGGAGAATCTGTCTAGCTTGGCTGGCGCAATGCATGCTGGGAGAAACGGGCCCTTGGGATAAAGCAATGCATGCTGGGAGAATCTGTCTAGCTTGTTTGGAGCAATGAGTGATGGGAGAGATGAATGTTTGGCCTGGAGCAGTGCATGCTGGGAGATACGGTTCTTGGGCTGAAGCAGTGCATGCTGGGAGAATCTCTCTAGCCTGGCTCGAGCAGTGCATGCTGGGAGAGATGGGAGCTTGGACTGGAGCACTGCATGCTGGGAGAATCTGGCTAGCTTGGCTGGAGCAATGCATTATGGGAGAGATGGTCCCTTGGGCTGGAGCAGTGCATGCTGGGAGAATCTCTCTAGCTTGGGCTGGAGCACTGCATGCTGGGAGAATCTCTCTAGCTTGGCCTGGGGCACTGCATGCTGGGAGAATCTCTCTAGCCTGGCTCGAGCAGTGCATGCTGGGAGAGATGGGAGCTTGGACTGGAGCACTGCATGCTGGGACAATCTGGCTAGCTTGGCTGGAGCAATGCATTATGGGAGAGATGGTCCCTTGGGCTGGAGCAGTGCATGCTGGGAGAATCTCTCTAGCTTGGGCTGGAGCACTGCATGCTGGGAGAATCTCTCTAGCTTGGGCTGGAGCACTGCATGCTGGGAGAGATGGGAGCTTGGACTGGAGCAGTGCCCGCGGGTGGACCTGCTTACCTGAGCTGTGGCAGTGGACGATGACCACCCCCGTGAAGACGCTGTGCTCCTTCCCGTTCAGCCTGCGCGAGAGAAAAGGCTGACGGGTCTAGTGGGGGTCAGGGGGCAGGCCCCCAGGGCTCTCTCAGCCTGCAGGTCTCTTCCGCTCCGAGGGGCGCAGAGAGACCCTCACAGAGGACGCACTGGCCACACCCAGGGTCCACCAGGGCCCCCCCTTCAGACACAGCGGCCGGCTCCCACCCACCCAAGTGGAAGCAGAGTGTCCGGTGCCGGGGTTTGGGGTCAGTTGGGTGACGCGGGCAGACGGGAGGGTGAGTTTTGGCAGTCACAGGTCAATGTTCCCTTAACCCCGAGCACTGGAGCAGGGGACGGGACGAGGGAGGGGCCCAGCCCCACCTGGACAGCATGCGGTAGGCGTCCTGCTTGTCCACTGGCTTCTCCAGAATCAGCCCGCCCACGGCCTGGAGAGAAAGAGCAGGACGGTCCCCTCAGGCCCACCACAGCCGAGCCCAGCCGGGGACTCAGGACACAGCAGGTGCAGGACGACCCGGTCCTGATTCCTGGCACCCAGCTCGGGGTGGAGAGTTTGGGGGCCCCTCCTGGCAGGGCTCAGGGCTGACTCCTGCTCCTGTGCTCACGGCTCACTCCTGGCTCTGTGCTCATGGATTACTCCTGGCTCAGTGCTCAGGACAGGGTGCGGGAGGCCCAGCCAGATACAGAGACCCAAGGAGGATCCACAGGATACCTGGACAGAGGGGCTCAGAGAAAGCCACCCCCAGCCCCCTGGGACACCCTGGGACAGCCTCATCCACCTGGCCCACCCCACCCTGTCCTTGGGCAATGCCCAGGGCTGCGTGTGGATTATGGGAGTGGACTCACCACAATGGTGTCGGCTCCGATGACCACATCCGGGGCCCGGAGGTCCTTCTGGAAGAAAGAGAGGCCACGGGTTTAGATGGGTCATACTGGGCGTCCACCCTGGGCTCGGAGGGGAGACGGTCGCACCAACTGACGGGCCCGGGGCAGGAGTGGACACCAAAGATGCAGGGCTTGGGTGCATAATTGATGCAAATTATGCAATTTGCATAATTGGGGCAAATTATGCAAAGATGCATAATTGGGGCCCCCAGTTGGAGTGTCCAGGCCCCCACAAGCGCAGCTTCCTCAGAGTCTGGGTTCTGGGCAACCCCCCCAAGCCGGCAGGGTCCAATTCAGAGGGTTTAGTTGTTCCCCCATGTGAGGGGCAGGGATGGTCCTTAGGAGAGCAGCGTGAGTTCCACCGTACAGTGGACCTTGCTGTTCCTGGGGTCAGGGAGCAGCCTAGGGCTCTGGGGGCGTCTGCCCCGGAAACCCAGAGGCAGACACAGATGCAGCCGGCCACGTCCCCGCCCGGTCCAGGGAGACGCGCAGCCCACGGCATCTGCAAGATCTGATTTTTGTTGTCACAGTACCCCGGAGGAGACAGAGAAGGACGTGGAACCCCAGTCCTAAGGCGTGCGGGACGCTACGAGGACGTGGAACCCCAGTTCTAAGGCGTGCGGGACGCTACAAGGAGGAGCCACAAGTCTTGGGAATGTGTGTGGGTCTAGGGCACGGCCACCAAGTGGCCAAGCGGATCTAGACGGGGCCGACATGCTGCACAGAGGCGTTCACTGTGTCCATGCCGCGTCACCAAGGGCAGCCCCGAGAGCATTCAAGGACGTGGGGACACACAGGGCGAGATTTCAGGGAGAGCGACTCTCCCTCAGGGCCGTGTCGTGGACCGCTTTCATCCACGGCACAGACACGTGTCCTCTGGGTGAGGAACTGTGTCGGGCGGGCGGGGTTCTGTATTGCTCACTTTGCATGAGTCTGTCAAGTAGTAACACCGAGTATCATTGCAAGAGACTGTTGGGTAGTAACATAAAGTCGTGGCCACTTACTTGTGGTATTGCAAACCACAACACCCAAGAGGAGAGAGTAAAAGGGAATGTGTCTGCCACAGAGGCAGGGGGATAGGGTGGGGATGGTGGGAGGGATGCTGGGAACATGGGTGGTGGAGAATGGAGGCATGGGTACTCGATCTTTGTATGACTGAAGCGTAAGCACGAAAGTTTGTAAGTCTGTAACAGTACCTCACAGTGATAACATTAAAAAAATAAAGTCTTGGGGCTGGAGCGAGAGCCCAGCGGGAAGGGCGTTTGCCTTGCACGTGGCCGACCCGGGTTCGATTCCCAGCATCCCGTATGGTCCCCCGAGCACCGCCAGGAGTCATTCCTGAGTGCATGAGCCAGGAGGAACCCCTGTGCATCGCCGGGTGGGACCCAAAAAAGCAAAAATAAATAAAGTCTTGGTGATATTAATTGTATGCCACGAGTGACCTTGTGTGGCTCACTGCAAGAGTCTGTTTGTTGGCTAGTAACACAGCGTAAAGGGCTTAGCGATATTTATTCGACGCCGTGAGTGATTGATTCCATGTTGCTCATTACAAGAGACCGTTGAATAATAACATATCAAGTAATGGTATAGCGACATGAATTCGACCTCACGAGTGACTCTGTTCCTCGTTGCAAGAGTCCGTGGAGTCGTGATATCGAGTAGATGCTTAATATTAACTCGATGACATGGATGATTCTGGTTGCACGTTGCCGGAGATAGTTGAGTAGCAACTTAGAGTAAGTAGCATCAATCCTACTTCATGAGTGTTTCTGTGTTACTCATTGCAAGACTCTGTTGGGCTTAGTGATATTAATTCTGTCATGAATGATTCTGTTGCTCATTCAAGAGTCTAGCGTAGTAACACAGTAATGATTTAGCAACAATATTTCTCATTACAAGCCCGTTGTAGTAACAGTAACGATTTAGCAACAACAGGCTCACTGCAAGTCTTGTAGTAACATAGTAATGTTTTAGCAACAATGTTGCTCGTTCCAAGAGGCTGTTGTAGTAACATAGAGTAATGGTTTGGCAACAATGTTGCTCATTGCAAGAACTTGTAGTAACATAGAGTAATGGTTTAGCAACAATGTTGCTCATTACAAGTCTGTTGTAGTAATAGATAGTAATGATTTAGCAACAAGGTGCTCACTGCAAGTCTTGCAGTAACATAGTACTGTTTTAGGAACAACGTTGCTGGTTCCAAGAGGCTGTTGTAGTAACATATAGTAATGGTTTAGCAACAATGTTGCTCATTGCAAGAATGTGTTGGAGTAACATATAGTAATGGTTTAGCAACAATGTTGCTAATTGCAAGAGTGTTGTAGTGACAGTAATGGTTTAGTAACAAGGTTGCTCATTGCAAGAGTCTGTTGTAGTAACATATACTAATGGTTTGACAACAATGTTGCTCATTGCAAGGGTCTGTTGAAGTAACATATAGCAATGGTTTGGCAACAATGTTGCTCATTGCAAGTCTGTTGTAACATATAGTAATGGTTCGGCAACAATGTTGCTCATTGCAAGAGTCTGTTGTTGTACCATATAGTAACGGTTTGGCAACAAGGTTGCTCACTGCAAGAATCTGTTGGAGGAACAAGTAGTAATGGTTTAGCAACATTATTTCTACCTCATGAGAGATTCTTTGCTGTCACTGCAATACTCTGTTGAACAGTAACATATGGTCCTCCTTAAGCAGCATTAATTCTGTCAGGAGCGATTCCATGCTGCCAATATTGTGAGACTGCCAAACAGAAACATCAAGTGGGAGTGGGTCTGTTGCTCATGCCAAGTCTGTGCGACAGTAACATACAGGGGAGGCTGAGCAGTATTCATTCTGTGTCAGGAGTGAGTCTCTATTACTCGCTGTAAGAGGTACATACAGTGACTGTTTACCATTATTAATTCTCCGTCATGTGCTGCCTGAACAGTAGGTAGAGTAATGGTGTGGCCACATAAATTAGAGGTCATAAATGATTCTGTGTTACTCAATAGTCTCTCATTAACGGGTTAGTCTCTCCTGGTGTAACACAGTGACGGGTTAGGACATCAGTTCTACACCACAGACAAGACAATTATTAAGTCTGTCGTAGGAGGGCACTGCAACAGATTAGGACATTAAGGATCATAAACAATACTGTTGTATTCATTACAGCAGTCGGTTCTAGGCAGCGTATGATAAAGGATCAACAACATTAGTCCTATGCCCTCCACGGCGGTATTAATAATTACAGTACTGTGCGACACAGAGACATATGCTAATGTCCTGATGTGGATGAATGATGTGAGTTTTCTATCATGAACGACAGTCTTATTAAAATTCCATCATACAGTAAGACCTAAATGGACCAGGATATGAATCAGCATAATTAATATATTTCTATTAAGCAGAATACGACAGAGCAGTATTGCAACAGACTCAGGCAATTACTATGAAGGATAGCATGGTGTTAATTCTCGTCTACTCGGTGATAATACACAGTTATGGATGGCAACGCCAATTCTCTGTCAGAAGTGATACCAAGCCAACCCATCGGCAGAGTCCACTCTACACCCAGTAGACATCTCGGCACTGTGGATTCTCCACCCTACCTGATAGTTCTTTGAATTACAGCAGTGTGGGGGGTGAACTCGAAACATGAATTCTGTGTCCTGACTGAGCCCTAAGCTGTAACCTGCAACTTTGCTGTATGTGACAATACATACTTATCGTAGCGGGTAGGAATGGGTCATCAATGTTGATTCTTTCTCAGAAATGATGCCGTCTTATTAGTGAGTCATCTGTGCAGTAGTGGACTGTCACCGTTAATTCTGTGTCATAAGTGACGCTGTTTAATTACTTCACAGGCAGTCTCTTGTGTGGTGACCACAGCAGGGGCCTGTCTATGGAGACTCTGTACAGAGATGACGCTGTCTTATTGATCGTGAGCCGGCATGGATTCTATCAATATTGATTCTACATCATAAGCGATGCTAACTAATTATTAATCGCAAGAGTCATGGAGAGTAATAGGTTATCAACAGTTATGCTACATCATTAACGGCACAGTTTTATTCAGGATGATACTCTACTGAGCAGTCATGGGACTATCTCCATTGATTCTCTGTCAGCAGTGATACTGTTTGTGATATTACTCTGCTGAGTAGTACTAGAACACCCGGAGTAATTCTCTGTCACCACTGATGATACTGTTTTACCCAGGGTGATACTCCACTGAGCAGTCATGGGACTATCTCCATTGATTCTCTGTCATCAGTGACACTGTTTGTGATATTACTCTGCTGACTGGTACTAGAACACCCAGAGTAATTCTCTGTCACCACTGATACTGTTTTATTCAGGGTGATACTCTACTGAGCAGTCATGGGACTATCTCCATTAATTCTCTGTCATCAGTGACACTGTTTGTGATATTACTCTGCTGAGTAGTACTAGAACACCCGGAGTAATTCTCTGTCACCACTGATACTGTTTTATTCAGGGTGATACTCCACTGAGCAGTCATGAGACTATCTCCATTAATTCTCTGTCAGCAGTGATACTGTTTGTGATATTACTCTGCTGAGTAGTACTAGAACACCCAGAGTAATTCTCTGTCACCACTGATACTGTTTTATTCAGGGTGATACTCTACTGAGCAGTCATGGGACTATCTCCATTAATTCTCTGTCATCAGTGACACTGTTTGTGATATTACTCTGCTGAGTAGTGCTAGAACACCCAGAGTAATTCTCTGTCACCACTGATACTGTTTTATTCAGGGTGATACTCCACTGAGCAGTCATGAGACTATCTCCATTAATTCTCTGTCAGCAGTGATACTGTTTGTGATATTACTCTGCTGAGTAGTACTAGAACACCCAGAGTAATTCTCTGTCACCACTGATACTGTTTTATTCAGGGTGATACTCTACTGAGCAGTCATGGGACTATCTCCATTAATTCTCTGTCATCAGTGACACTGTTTGTGATATTACTCTGCTGAGTAGTACTAGAACACCCGGAGTAATTC